TAAGTTCCATATTAAAAAATGATTTTTTGAGAATTGTATTAGAACCAGTAAATTACTATAAAAAGATTTTAGTTCCTGAATAAGAATTAGAATAGTAAAATGGAATTGATAAATTATATTATCATAGAATAAAATTGCATGCTTAATTGATTATTTTAATTACTGAATGTTGTTAATATTATAGATTAGGTATTCAAGAAATGTAAAGAATAATATTATATGAATAACTTAAATCGATACTTTTATATTAAAATGCTGAATATATTGTTAAGAGAGCCTATTTATAATGTTTATTTGAATTATATATAAATAAAGCAAAAGAGGGAGATTTTATAAATGATACTGTAGAGAGTGATGAAGTAAGAGATATTTTATCAAGAATAATTATACCTGAGTTAGATTAGAAATAAATATGTAAATTTTTAGAAGGCTTAGCAAAATTAATTAATTTAGATTAAAATAAAAAGGTTACTTAAAGAGATTTGAGAGAATAAATTGCAAGATAAAAAAGAAATTATTTTGAAAAAAGATTATCTATAGATTCAGCATCAGATAAAGAATTAGGAATACTTAGAGATTGTAGTGAATTTTGGACTTATTTAAGAAAGAATGGTATTATTCATTTTTTAGTTTATACATATGATGAAATGAAAGATAGAATTGATATAGAAAATCCAGAGAATTCAAATTTATCAGATGAATTTGCAATTATTAAATAAAATGTACAAAAAATAAAAGAAATATTCAATGTTTTAGAAAGAGATTTTAGAGTAAAGAAAGAAGATTTGGATTTAGATGATTATAGAGAACTAATTATATCAATTGAGGAAATTATACCTTAAAGAAAAATTACAAAATTTGGTTAGAATTTTAGAATTGGATTTATATAAGACAAAAATAGTGATAAATTATTATTTGATAAATATGATACTTTAAAAGAAGATTAAAATGGAGAAAAAAAATTATAAGAATAAGATAATGTGTAAAGAATTGAAAACCCATTTAAGAGGAATTTTAAAATATATTTGATAAGATATAAAGTAAATATTTTGTAATTTTGTTATTTTATTGAAAAAAGTGCTTCAGAATTAACAGATTAAGAAAAATCAAGAAAAATTGTCAAGACTTGTAATGTTTATAAATAGTACATTTAATTAAAAGATATTGAAAATATATATTAAACTGATGTTGCTCGTATCAAAAATCAAGAATCTGTAAATAACAGAAATAAATAATTTGTTGATTGGGAATTATTTAAATAAGCAATGAGAGAATCATTTGAAAGAAAGTTTAATGCTAATATAACTTCTTAATCAATTTAAGCTTATAAACGTTAATAAGATAGTTTGGATAGTTTAAAAAAAGACTTTTAATTATCTACTATTCGATTGATTGCAAAATATTATAAAAAATTAGGAGGATAACTTGAATTAAATGGAAATTTGATTTCTGAAGATGTTTAAATAGAACTCTTAATAAAAACATTAGAAAAATAAAGAACTAATGTATTTAATTTAGAAAATCTAAACAACTTTTTAAAAAAATGTTAAGAAATATTTTTAAATAAAGAAATATATTTAATCAAACTTTGTAGAATATTTTTATCATTAAAAAGACCTACTTAAGATGAGATGGATTCTTTGACTGAAGCAAAAGATGAAGATTCTAAATAAGCTGTAAGAGAAAAGAAAGAAACATATGTTAAATTTTAAAGGGCTATGGCAGATGGAGAACTTGACATTTTAGCTTTGGAAATGTTGAATTAAACAGATGATGATAATTAAAAAATTGAAGCATTATCTTTTCTTATTCATTTATTAGATTATGGAAATGAATATGTATAGAAAAAGTTTTATAAATTGTTAAAAGAAGAACATGTGAAATAAAAGTTTTTAGTATTTCTAAGAGGTTTCTTTTTGATAGATTTAGATGTTAGAATTAAAGAATTAGAATTAACTGAAGGAGACAATACTGAATATAAATTACTATGTCTTAAAGTACTTTAATTTCTTCAAGCTTTATGTGAGAATGTAAATATGGAATTTTAGAAATTCTTAGTATTTTAATATGATGATGATTCATATTAAGCTAATATCAATATAGTAAATGAAGTGGCAGGCTTATTGGCTGATCTTTTAGAAAAAGGATAAAAAGTTTTTTATAAATTATAAGAAATATACAGATAAGCATTAGAAAGTTTAGTTGAATTTTCTACAGGTTATGTAGAAAATAAAAAAGAATTATGTAAAAATGCAAGATTATTCACTTTATTAAATTCAATTTTACAAAAATAGGACCTATTAAATTTTAGTTAGCTCTATTAAGAAAATAGAATGATATTAAAGGAAAAATAATAAATGAATTAGACATTAGATGAAGATATTGTTATAGATAATGGAGGAATAGGATCTGATGAAGGAAAAAAAAAGTATGCTTCATATTAAACATTATAATCATTTATTAAATTGCTGTTATTATTAACTTAAGGTAGAGCAGATATTTAATCATTGGAATTTATATTAAAAACAGTTGATATTACTATTTTGATAAGAATAGCAAAATCAATTTATGAGGAAAGAATCAAACCTAAATAAAGGAACATTATTTTAGATAATATTTGTGATGAATCAGAAACAGGAAATCATAAACATTGTACTAATAGTTTATGTCATTTTGGATTAAGAACAGATGAGGACAATATGTTAATATAAACAGGATTTAATATATTTATTATTTGTCTAAAATTATCAGAACATTTTCCGCATGATTCTTAATTGGAATTATTTTTATTTGATGAGGAATAAGAAGAATAAGAAGATCTATTAGATTTAGATGATTTTCAAGAAGAAGAATTATAAAAAAAGAAGACATTGTCAAATCAAAAGATTTTACCTATTAATCCAGGAAGCAAATATGATTATAATTAAGATGAAGTTGATGGATTATTGCTTAAAGAAGAATAAAAATATGAAAATTAAAGTTTAAAAAAAATGTTAATAGATGTTCAAAATGATAAAAATTATTAATTTGATAGAACATAAAGATTCTTTAAATTTTATAGACAATTTACAGGGAGAATAGAAATATAAAATGAATTCAATCAATTAGAAAAAGTCTTTTTTTAAAAACCATTTGTTTGTAATTTTATTACTCCAAATATTAAATAACATTTGATTTATGAAATTAATAGAGAAACAGATGAAGATAGAATGTTAGGATTAATTGAATTTTCTGAATTTTATTAAGTTTAAATGAGACATTCTTAATAAATTAATAATAGAAAGGTTATGCATTTTGGTGCAGTATATTGGAGATTATTAAAGGATGTATCCTTCTTATTATGTCTAATTATTGTAGTTTTACTTATCTTTATGCATGATACAGTATTAAATAGTAAAATAGGATCAAATAGTGATGCACCTGAAGATTCAAATGTAACATCTGGAGAAAGCTTTGTTAGTTATTTAAATAATGTATAGATATCTTATTCTATATTAGATAATTACTATTGTTTAGTTGGTTTTAAATTTAATTATTGTTTTCTTTTGTGCTATTGAAAGATATCCTATTTCCATTACATATAATAGAGGATAGACAAATGCAAAGAGAGTACAAATCTTAAAAAAAGAAGCAGGATTTTAGATTTCATGGGTGACAATGAAATATTATAGTTTGATAGGATATTTTGAATCAGAATTCTAAGAAGATCAAGTTAATCAAAGTTCAATTAAGAAATTAATTTTAGTAATATTTTTCGACTTTGATAATTTCTATAATGTAATACTTATTTATTTAAAATAGATTTGCATTTTTGGGCTAACCGTATATGCTTTCTTTAATCCTTATATTTATGCAGTACTATTATTGGATATTGTTAAAAGATCAGAAGATCTCTAAAATATTATTAGATCAATTACATCTAATGGTCGAAATTTAGCCATCTTTTCATTCTTAGGGTTGATTGGTTTGTTAGTCTATGCAATTATTGCATTCTCTAATTTTGATTCTATGTTTGATGATGAAAGTGGTGTATATGGCTAAACTTTTATTCTTGCTGTTACTTCAACAATCAATTTTGGATTAAGAAATGGTGGAGGTTTAGGAGAATCTTTGACTAAATATCCTGATGCTTATGAGGATCCCACTTTATATTGGGGTAGATACTTTTTTGATTTTACTTTTTTCATCATTTTCAATATTCTTTTTATCTAAATCATATTTGGTATCATTTTGGATACTTTTGGCGAATTAAGAGATGAAAGATAAGCTTTGGTTAAAGAAATTGAAGGAAAATGCTTTATTTGTAGCTAAGATAAAAATGATATTGATACAAAGTAAAATATTTATTTATTATTTTATTAGAGGTACAAAAGGATGGCATTATCATATATACTTGGAACATAGTGTATATCATATGTTATATTTCATAATTTATATTAAAAATAAAGATCCAAATGATTGCAATGCATTAGAAAAATATGTTAATAAATGTATTCAAGAAAAAGAGACTAAATTTTTCCCTTTTGGTAGGGCCCTTTAAATAGAAGAATAGGAAGGAGATAAAGAATAAATAGAAAAATAATGAATCTTAATATTTATGCATCTAATTATAAATTTATTTTTCTATATTATTCTAAATTATATTTATATTGAATACTATGTTTTTCTTTGTCAATAATTTTTAGATTCTATTATATCATAGTAAAATGGTTTTTTTTAGGTATATCGAAATATAATAATTATAATAAAATAAATAAATTAAAAAATAGTCTCACTTATTATAATGAGATGATGAGCTAAATATAAATAAATGTCTAAATATACTAAATTAATTAAATAAATTTAACTTATCAAAAGAAATGGGAAAATGAAAATTTTATTTAATACATTTAATTTTTAATAAATTTTTGATTTAAATACTATAAATTATTTAAAAATGATAATTTTGATTATAATAACGAATCAGTTAGGATATATATAATAGCTACGCTAAATATCTTTCAATTTATTAATTATCTTGCCAATTGTTCCAATAATTATCTGTTATTTTAATTAATCTTTTAGAAACAATTAAATGAATTCCTAAAAATTTTGATATCGAATAAAAAGAAATAATTAATCTAAATCTTATTTTCTAATTGATCCTCACTATATTAAACAATTCCTAAAAATTCTCCAAGAACTACTTCTTTTTAGTTTTCTACAAAGCAAATTTTGTATCCAGAAATAAAGAATAATTAATATAGATTTACTTAAATAAATTATAGAATTTTTGGCTTTCAGCAATTGATGATGGATTGATTTCTGAAATCTAGACAATTTCTTTTTTTCTGAGGAAATAGTTTATAAATAAAAAGACATCTTTATGCTCTAAATTAGCTCCAATTTTTAAGACTGTAAATGGTCCTTTTTGATTAAAATTTGATCAAAGTTTTGTAATATATTTTTGATTTAAGTGTCTTTCAACCAGTTGCCAAAGCTGAGATGATCAATAAATTTAGAATAATATGTGATTTCATAATTATATAATTATTATATATATAATTATTTTAAAATGGATGATAAGAAAAGAAGAAATGAAGATAGAAGACTTAAATTAGATGTGATATAATCATATGGTAGTTTATGTTCAGCAAAATTTAAAGACAGCATAAGTATTATAGAAGGTAGAGAATTAATATATTAAGTTATTAGATGAATAAAGGAGATTACTATATCCAGTTGGTAAATTTATAGCTTAAAAATTTATTGATAAACCTGATACTCAATTTATCAGATTATCTGATAATCTAGAAATTGTTTCCTGTATGACTGTTGCTCCTAACAAAAGGTACTAAAAACACTATTTAATTTTAATAGGACATTAGCAGTTGCAGAAAAAATGAAAAATGAAACAGTTCCTTAGTTAGTAATTTATAATTTGAAAGCTCATCCCAGTAAAATGGAGGCTGAGAAAAAACCATATAAATATTTAGATACTAAATCTTCAACATTTATTAGTATGGCATTTTCACATACAGATTCTAGGTAATAATTTAAATATTAAATCGACATTAGATTTTTACTATGTTTAACAGGTCCTCCAGATTATCTATTGATTTTTGTAGATTTGATTAGAATGAAACATTTAGCTTTATCTGCAATAGGATAAGAGTTAACAAGAGTTTCAATATCTCCTAAAGATAATCATATGGTAGCTGTAAGTGGAAAAAACTACTTTAAAATATTAAGAGTTTAAGAGAACTCCTTTATTTCATTAACAGATTAAATAAAGAGATTAGCTCCAATTTAGACATTTACAGATCATGCATGGTTTGAAGAAAATAAAGTGATTTTGGCAAATGACAAAGCTGAAATTTTTATCATTCATGACAATGATGTAAGACAATATATAAATAATGCTTTTAATGATATTAGAGGACCAGGAATTTCTTCTTTAATTGCTTTTTCTAAAGGATTTTTGATTGGATCTGATAGTGGACATTTTGCACTTTGGATTAGAGGTGATGATCATGATAAATAGAAGACAGAAGATGGTATTGAAGTTATAATGGATTTACAATTCTTAAAGAAATGGAGATGTGAAAGAAAAAGTTAAGTTGTTAGTATGGATATAACAAAATAAGAAGATTTAGTTGCAGTAGCATTCTCTAATAATGATATCTGCACAATAGAAATGGGTTAAGTATTACCTAATTCAACTGAAGTATTGGAATCTTATAAAAATAATGAGAAATTCTTAAAAAGAGAAGTTAAATTTGATTTTTTATTTAATGGATTTCATAATGCTCCAATTACACATTTAGATGTTTGTTTATAAAGACCTTTAATAGTTACAGCAAGCAAATATGATAGTACAATTAGAATATGGAATTATGCTTATCCTAGATGTGAATTAGCTCGTAAATTTTATTTAGGAGATGATGGTAATTAATAAGGTTTAGGAACAAAAGAGAATTAGAGTACAACTTAAGATATTTCACCTTTATGTTCAGTAGGTTTTCATCCAACTGGTTATTATTTGGCAGCAGGATTTTAAGATAAATTACGTATTTTCCATGTTTTGCATAGTGAATTACGTGCTTATAAAGAAATGGCTGTAAAATGTTGCACTTAAGTGAAATTTAGT